AAGCCCAATTGGGCTTTTGAGTGCATGTGCTAAAATAAGCCCTCCCCCCCAAAAATAAGCCCTCCTCTAAAATATTTAAATGCAGCTGGTCCCTGCCATTTCCGGGGGGGGGGAAACATGCCCCATGCACCCCATATGCCCCTGGGATCCATGCGGAACAGCCTCACGGAGGCTGCTCCCACACACCCTAGTTACCACGCTGCTTCTCTTAGTGGAGGCCATAGGCCCAGCCATGCTAGGCTGGCAAGAGTGTGCCAAAAACAGAGACAGAACTTCCGGCCCTCTCTGGATCAGCTGATATGTGGGCTGTGGCCCATGGTTAAGGGGCCTCCTGCACCTCAAAAATAATAAGACCTCCCTGAAAATCCTTGTTTCAGGGGTCAAAAGAAAATTAAGACCCTGTCTTATTTTCGGGGAAACACGATACAGGCACCATCAACTAGGTTTATAGCAGAGGTGGTATTCAGCAGGTTCTGTCCAGTTCTGGAGAACCGGTAACGGAAATTTTGAGTAGTTCGGAGAACTGGTAAATACCATCTCTGGCTGGCCCCGCCCCCATCTATTCTCTGCCACCGGAGTCCCAGCTGATCACGAGGGAATGGAGATTTTATGGTATCCTTCCCCTGCCATACCCACCAAGGTATGCCACACCCAAGCCATGCCCACAGAACCAGTAGTAAAAAAAAAATTGAATCCCACCACTGGTTTATGGGTGATATAAGTGTTTACCTAATAAAAACCCAGTTATAGGGAATACACCTTGTCAACTACAAACAACTTCAGCTACTCCAAAGGCATTGGCGGTTTGTAGCTTGGTTTGCAAAGACTGTTTTAGAGCAAAATCCTTTTTCGTGTGAGACATCACCTTAAGGCAGCCTTAAAAGTAGGCAGCTGAGGGAGTGGAAGAATTCTTTTCAAAGAAAAGTTGAACCTTGCAGTATGGCGTGTGAAAAGGAAATGGCCTTATTTACAACCTCTCGCACAAACTTTCTGGGTGCCTGAGAGTCTCTTTAGATGCTTTCATTTGGATTCCTTGCCGATGACCCCCCCCCCCCCCGGTAAAAGGGCAATTTCAGTTAAGTTTCACTGCTTATGATGACATAATTTTCTTTTCCTGGGCTGATTTTAGCTGGCAGCAACTCCATCTTTCTTCTAAGACTTTTTAAAAGGGCTAGTTTGGTGTGGTGGGTAAGATGCCCGCATGAAACCAGGAGACTGTGAGTTCTAGTCCTGCCTTAGGCATAAAAGCCACCTGAAGTCCTGATGGGCCAGACACAATCTACCTCACAGGAGTGTTTTTGTTGCTGGAAAAAGAGGCCCGAATATTATGTATTAAAAGAATGGGATAAAAATTTATAACCAATAGTAAACATTTAAAGGATGTTTCCCAGATTATTCTAAAATGTGAGATTTTGTAAGACTTTATATGCTGCTATGGTTTGTTGCTGTTTTAAAAGATATATTCATTTGTGATTAAGACAGACAGACAGACAGATAGATAGAATTAATTAATTTCAAAATAGCTTGGAATTCAGGCAAAAGGGTTTGTACCTAGGATAGAACACTGGAAACAAGAATAAGCTTTAAGTAAACTGTTGCTTTGATTTCTTTCTTTTTTTCCCAATTTTATATATATATATATATATATATATATCAGAAATTCCTTTCTGACTACATGGGCTATGAGAAATCAAAGCGTACTGGAATATATATATATATATATTCCAGTA